AGATACGGTTTTACACTCACTAGAATTACTACGACTAAAAAGACTATGAAAATCAAGTAATAGGGAGCATGTAGAACTCTGACATACTCTTGCACAGTGAAAATATAAAAACTGAAACACACACTTTCCCTATGACCCAGCCGTTCCAAGAGAAAGGAAAGCGTTTGTCCACAAAAGGTCTTGAATCAGATGGTTCATAGCAGCCTTATCTGTAGTACTCAGACCCCAGAAACAACCAAAATGCCCATCAAGGGTAAATCAACAATTGTTACATTCATACAATCCAATATTGTTCACCCGGCAACAGCGGCGGATCGCAAAGACATTGGGCTGAACATAAACAGCCGAACACAAGAGAGCACATACTGTATAATTCCATTATATGAAGTTCTAGAACAGGGAAAGCTGATCTATGGCTATAGAAATCAGAACAGTGGTGAGCTGTGGCAGGGGGTGCGGGGTGTGGGGAGGTGGCCCTGACCGAGGGTACGAGGGAGCCTTCAGGGGGTGAAGGACAGTCTCTGACTTGTTTTGAGTGCTGTTTACACAGGCGTATACATTTGTCCAAAACCACTGAACTGAAGGCTTGCAGCCTGTGCAATTTATTGTATCTTAATTATCCCTCAGTGAAACATATTTATGTGGAGAGATTGAAAAGACCATGTGAGAAATCCATTTTCTAGTCCACACCCCAGACCTGCCCCCCGATTCTTGCAAAATGCGAGAGTGAATTCACATGCTGTGCCCGGAGCGGCAGGGCTTGGTGGGAAATTGCTCCAGGTGTTTTCTGAAATGCGATGAACACAGAGACCCCTTTGCACGAGCCCCCGAGGGAAGGTTCTCACGGACAAGATGTCTGCACTACGGACATCTCCGTCACAGCTCATCGCTGCCTTTCTGTTCCACCAGGCAGCCTGGAGATGTTTGTTTTCATGCTTGCACTATTTTCGACAAACATTCTAGAGGCAGCTGCTATGTGCCAGGCCCTGGCTAACACCAGCTGGTCCCTACCCTGGGCGGTCAGGCCAGCTTCCTCCTGGAGGGGCCATCCACCCAGGGACCTTGGATGAGGCTTAGTTACCAGTGATGGAAGGAGGGGTAGGGCAGAGAGGCGGGGGAAGACCAGGGCAGTGGGTCTTAAACTTTGCCACACCTCAAAATCCCTGAGGGCCTCTCAAAGTGTCCATGCAGACCACCCAGATCAGAGGCTCTGCTGCAGAACTGGGGCATCGTAACTTTCAAAACTCACCAGGTGATTCCAAGTTTGAGAACCAGTGTTCCAGATGGAGGTGACAAGAGTCGTTGAAAGCCTACAAGTCTCAGAAAGATGCCAGTGGATTTGGGAACAGAGAGGAAAGTGAAGTCAAGAAATGTTGCTGAGGAGATGTAGTATGAGTAGAGCCCCTGCCAAAACTTCCTGTCCACCCCAAACCTCAGATATGACCTCTTTTATAAACAGGGTCTTTGAAGATGTAAACAAGGTAGGAATGGAGATGAAGTCATGGGGATCAGGGTGGGCCCTGAATCCAATCAGAGTGTCCTTAGAAGACACAGAAAGGGACACACTGAGAAGTCCGTGCGAACACAGAGGTGGGTGGAGATTGGGTGATGTGGCTACAAGCCAAGTGACACCAGGGAATGTGGGCCACTGCCAGGACCTACGCGAGGGGCCTGGATCAAATTCTCCCTGAGCCTCCAGAAGAAACCAACCCTGCCCACACCTTGATTTCGGGCTTCTGGCCTCCAGACTGGTGACAGAACAAACGTCTGTTGTTTTAAGCCTCCCAGCTGGTAGCAGTTGGTTATGCCAGCCCTGGGCCACTCATACAAGAGGGAAGCAAGGGCTCAGCCACCACAGGGAACTTGGAGCTAAAGCTGAGGAGCCCAATACAAGGAGGAGGAGTGTCCCATTTCAAGGCGACCGAGTGAGGAAAGGCCCACAGCTGCGATGCGTGGGTAGGCTTGCTGTTGGGGAAGATGAGGGTGTGCCCTTCTGACCTCTCCTGCGTTCTTGGAGAAGCGAGAGGCATGGTTATCTGCCTGGAGTAGAAATGGGGTGAAGGCGGCGTCCAGAGCCTAGGAGACTGGAGCAGGCTCAAAATAGTCTCTACTGACAATAAGGGAAGGGACTAAATGTAACTCCTTGGCCAACACTGAAGATCTAGTGGAAACAGAAGACTAGAGACATATGAGGCGCCCGCCTGTGCACAGGTGAGAGCTGACCTCTGGCACGGAGACCTGCAAATATATATAAAGAATCTGTACATCTAGCAAATACGTCTACCTTCCAGACAGTGGCCTCCAGTAGTTTGTTCAAGTTTTTTCTACTAGAATCTGAGAACTTACCCTTGATCCCTCAGATATTACATAAAAGTTACCTCCAAAGTAAACAAGTTAGCCCTGCAAATAAGTCCCAGCCCACTGAGTGTTTGTCCTACCCACTCACCCTCCCCCAGGGCTACACAGGAAGTTAGTCAATAAAGAGTTCTTGTACACATACTGTGCCAATACGTGTGATCAACTAATTGTCAATAAATATTTATTGACTATATCCTGAAGGATCACACGGTAAGTCAATTAGTCAATAAATATTTATAGAACTACGAGGCAGTGGTCTAGGATTTTAGATCAAAGAAGGAAATAAAAATACCAGAAGATTCTGGGTGAGAGAGATAGTAGCTAATTGGTAGCTCAATTTGGTATTGCAAAAAAAAGCGGTGTTATAGAAACCAAACGAAGGAGGTATTTCCTAGAACTAGAAGGCTGGAGACTGGATTTGCTCCATACTAAATAAAAATGAGTGAATCACTTTACCAAGAAAGTTTCTGTTTCCTTATCTATCAAACAAGGTAGTTGAATCAGCCAAATGCTTTCTTAAAAGGAAAGAAAAAACCCTACATTCAAGGTTCAAACAACTTTATAATGCCCAGAAGGTCTCGCTGGAGGTGCTTGTGGTTCGGTGATGATCCTTAAAGTCTCAGATCGATGTGCGATAAGTTGACTTGAGGGACTCAAAGATGGAGAGGAACATGGGCTCCTGTGTATGGTCCTTCCTGAGGCCTCCTGTTTCCCACCTTGCTGCTAACCACAGCCCCATCCTGGAGGGTGAGTCACTTGCCAGAAAGGGGAGACCATATCTTCTCAAAACTCCCCAAATCACAGAGGAAGAGCCCGAGTTTCCTTCCCAAAACATCTTCAGATGTTCAAAACCAAGACCAGGGTGGGGCGGCCACCGTGACTAGCACTCAGAGACAGGGGTTGAGTTCGCTGGGTAAAGAAGGGGAATTCCAGTGTTTCTGAGATACTGTTTTACAACACTTGTCTTCCCCTGTGGCCTACTGTCTTCTAACATCAGAGCGCAAACTCGCCACCACATTCGGCCCAATCCGCATTTTGATTCCCAGGCTGGAAGAAATCATTTCCATTCATTCATCCATTTCCAAAGACCAGCCAAGACCAAGTTCTGGCTTCTCTCCCAAAGACAGCCCTCTCTCGTTGCTGGCTTCTAATCTTAAGGGCCAGTCTTTCTCAACCCTTTCTGTATAAAATATTCATGCTTGCCCTTTATTCATTAGTATCAGATTAAGGCTACCTATGATTCATCAAAGCCACGGGCAGGTTTTGTCTGATCCATGCAGTATTTTGAATTTGTCGCTGCTTTTTAAAAATCAGGAGACTTTGGTTTATCTTAAAAAGTCAGACGATGTGTCCACACTGAGTCTACATTCCCACATGGATATACTGGCTAGAGTTGATCAACAACAGCCCATTTAGATGGGATTGTGGCATTCTGGACGCCAGTCTCTACCACTCCCTATTGCTGCCCACCCAATCCACTTCACTCATTTCCATGACCTCCCTGGCCTCTGCAGGAAACTGATTTTGTGACACCTAGTTATGGTAAAATGAGCCAATAAAAAGGAAAAAAATCCTGAAACATAACTGAATATGAAACATGATTATAGCAACATAAAAAAAAAAAAAAATTCTCAGAAGAGGCTAAAAAAATAATATAAACAGCTTTTGTTTCTGAAATAATGTTTGCTTTGTTTCTTCTTTATGCTTTTAAAAATTATTTCTAAACTCTCAAAAACTGAACAGACAATAAGCTTTGTCCCATCTAATTGCAGAACCAATAACAAAACTTGCAAAAAGTACCTAAGAATGAACTCAAAGCAGTTGCTTCTTTCAAATCCTGCTAGAAATGGGCCAAGTTTCTGCCCGGAATCCTTCGAAATGGCAGATCTTAGCCACTGCATACTGGATTCTGAAAACCTTTTGCATCTTTGCTTGGGTATCTTTATGTCCACCAGACTGTAAGCTTGTTGAGGACAGAGAAAATGCCTTGCTCATTGGCAGATCCCTGGCACAGCACCGGCCACCAAGCGGATTCTCAGTGAACACACAGGGATGGGCTGAGGGTGCCGGGGAAGCACGCGCCTGGGTGCCAAAGCCCCCGTCAGATCCCCACCCTGCCACTTTTAGGTTGTGTTCCCCTGCCCCTCATCTCTCTCCCTCCTCTCTGTAAAGTGGGCACCGTGACACCAGCTCTTAGCAAGGGTTGTGGTGGGTATGCGACACGCTCAATAAGCAGAGCCACTGTGATATCATTGTTATTCTTACTGAAAGGAAAACAGAGGAAAAGAAATCGAGGACACGACGTACAGTGAACTCACTCCAGCTCCGTCTACCCGTTTCAAAAGCCAGAACAACATTTTATGCATCTCCGATCTTCTAAACAAAGCTGTAGGCTACTCATTAGCTGTATTATTTTTTAATTTCCTGTGAGGCCGCAAAACCCTCCACAAGTAAATAGAAGCAGAGAGAAACCCTTAAAAGTGCTCTGGCTCGGGCCCCTTTGGTCGTATGGAGCTCACTCTGGATCCTTGTGGGTCCCGCGTATTTTTGCCGGGTACCTGGCCCAGGGTGCCTCGCCGGGAGGTGGGAGGTCACAAAGAGCCCACTTTCCAAACACCAACCCTGCCCAGAGCCCAACTTACAGCACTCGATGGGGTTCGATGCAGTCTGCAAGGAGACGATCCTGCCGCTGGCCTCCGGAATGTGCACCCGGAAAACCAGCCTCACCCGCGTGTTCTTCCTCCCGATGTCCGTCTCGCCTTTGCGCAGCTCAATGTCAGCATTCCTCAGCTTCAGGATGCCTGCGCAGTCGATGCTGCCGGAGGGGAAAGCTCCATTGGTGACCGAGCATCACGGCCAGCGGGAGGGGTCACCCCGAAACCACCTCGGTCAGTTCGATAAAAGAATTCTACAGCCAGACACTGGGAGAAACTGCAGTCCACTGATAACTATTTCAGCCAGGGGTTTATACCGAGAGGGGAGAAAAACACTTACAAAGGAATCAGTGAAATTGCCCGGTGGAAATGATTTCTCCAGGGAGATTTTTCATGCCAACTTTTCAATCCTCAAAAGTATCTAAAAAACTCAAATAAGCAACTGACGAGATTGCTTCTGGACTTTCCAATAGGTAAGAGTCATGTATCGATATTAACATCTTGAATTTGACCAGCGTGCTTTGGTCATGTAAGAATGTATTCTTCTCAGGATATGCACGCGGAAGTATTAAAAAAGTCAAAAGGCATGATTTCTACAACTAACTCTCAAATGGTTCAGGAAAAAATGGTGAGAGTGATAAAGCAAATATGAAAAATGTTAACAATTGGCAAATCTGAGTGAACACTATACAGGAGTTCTTTGTATGATTCTTGCAGTTTTTCTGTATGTTTGAGATTTTTTTTTTCCCTAGCAAAAAGTTTTTTCAACTCCAATACATGGGTGCAATGATTCCAAAATTTTAGCCACATGCAAATGACTTGGTGAGTTCTGACCTATCATTACTTAATAATTTTCTTTAGGTCAGATAAATTTTTAAAATGTAAATGAATCTAGTCTCATCCCAGCTAAGATAACCCAAAGATGCATAAGTATTTTTCCTCTCAATACACATGAAAAATATGTAGGTAAAGAGCTTTTAAAATAGAAACTTTTAAAACAGTAATCTCTCTGGGTCCATCATAGATTGGGAACCACCATCCGCAGCTGCTTCCATCAACTCCATGAAGTCTCCTCTCCCATATCCCTGCCACCTTGGTCCCACTCATTCCCCATAGAGACCCACTGCCCTCAGCCCCAGCCCTTACGTTGCCCTCATGTTGTTTTTTGGCTCCAGCGGGATCTCCAGGACTTTGGTGTTGCCCACGATCTTCTCGTAGCTGGTGGTGGTGACAGTTTTCCCTGTGATCCGGTGCACCTGGTAGAAGGCGTGGGGCTTAAGGATCCGCTCATCGGCTGTCCCAATGAAGATCTGAAGCCCCAGGGGCTTATTTTCCATGTAGCCATGGAGCTGGGGGAGAGAAAACACAATCAGATTATTACAGCACCACTAACAGGCAGAGTGTGGTGGCTGCGGTCTGACAAACAAAAAGATCGGAGAAACTCCTGGGCAACAGAAAGAGCGCAGGCCTGCTGCTTCCTTCGTCTGGAGGAATGAAGATCTGGCAGCCACCTAGATGTCCAGCCAGAGGGGACTGCTTCAATAAGTCACAGGGATCTTCTCTAAATTAGAATATGAAGCAGCCATAAGCAAGAACATGGTAGATCAGAATTGCATTTATGAAGAAACAGCCAGAAACTATGCTTAAGTGGCAGTTGGGGGACTGGGAGAGGCTGTTGCGTAGTGGTGGGGATAATTAATAGAGATAAACCAGAGTTCTTGACAATGGTTGTCTGGGAAGACCAGAAGGGGCTCTCCCTTTTTACATGTCTGTGTCGCAACGAACAAGTTTTATTTTGCCATTTTTACAAAAGAATGAGCGAGGAAAGGGACCATGATCTAAGTCAAAAGAAAATGAAAGACTGGAAGGAAATACGTGCAGCACACAACAGACAAGAGGACTGTTCGCAGAATATATAAAGGATGCCTACGAGTGTGTAAGTCAGGGACAAGCTTCCTGGCCATCCTGTTGGGAACCCAGTCCCACCGCAGTGGCTCTCCCTGTTGCCTTTTCCTTTCTCTTATCCCATCTAACGTATGATACATCCCCCTGGTTCCTTTTGCTTATGTCTTTCCCCCACACCTAGACTATCACCTCTCTGAGGGCGGGAGTCTATTTCTTCAACTTGCCACAAAATCCCTCACACCTAAAATAATGCTGGGCACATGGTGGACATCCCAGCATCTATTTGCTGAATGAATAAAACTATCCAACAGAAGAAATGAACAAGATATTTGAACAGGCAATTCACAGAAAAACAAACAGCCATTAGCAGAGAAAAGATGTTCAATTTGACTTGTAAACAGGAAAATGCAAATTAAACAACCACGAGATGCCGTTTTCACCTATTAGACTGGCACGCATGTAGTTATTTGATCATATCAGGTGTTTTGCAGACTATGGGGACACAGGCACTGCCACACAGCTGGTAGGAACATAAACTAGTATAGCTATTTAAAGTGTATTAGAGTAATAGCTACTAAAATTAAAAATACATATTCCCTATAACCCAGTAATTTCATTTCTCAGTATGTACCCTAGAAGAAATACTGTGCATGCAGGAGATATGCACAAACATGTTTACTGAAAAAAATGGAACAACAAGCAATTAGTCATATAAAAGGCTTATGAGGAGTATGACACATCCAGGCTATGAAAGACTATAGCAATTAAAAATACATGTATAAGGTAGAGATCTCTGCACTGATCCAAAAAGATCTAAGCACACTGTTAAGAGAAAAAAGCCATTTGTAGAAAAATATGGATAATGTGATACAACTTATTTTTAAAATGCTGCATGTTTTCAATTTACCTATTTATATACATGTAAATGGAATAGGAAAAGATGTAGAAGGATGCACTCCAAACTGACCACACCATGATCACTTCTCAGGATGGAGGCGGCGGCCAGGATTGAGAAGGTGTTCAGAGGGCTTTAAATGTATTCACAATGTTATAGGAAGAATGTATTTCTGGAAACTTGTGAGAATTAACATGGGTTTTAAAAAATACCAAAAGAAAAAAGCCTATTAAGCTGAGAGTTTGAAGATGGGTTCCATCTTGCCACTCCCCAGCTGAGAAATGCTGGGACAATCATTTAATCCTTCTATGCCTCTGTTCCTTTCTGTACAAACTGAGGGAGACTATGACAAGTGACAAGTCACTATGATCCTACCCTTCCATAACATTCTACAAAATTTCAGTAGGATCTCCAATCAACTGCCAAAAAATAAAGGTCCAATGGACGATTACACATGGTCTAGAACTGTGCTGTCCAGTACAAAAATAAAACAAAACTGAAAATTCAGTTTCTCAGTTGCACTAGCCACACGTCAGCTGGTCAACAGCCACAAGTGGCCAGTGGCCACAGTAGTGAACAGAACAGACACAGAATATGTCCATCATCGAGAAAGTTCTATTGGATAATGCCGGTCTAGAAAGACAGAATTCTCTCATCCCCATCTAAAAACTATACAAAGAGACAGGCTGGAAATGGAGCAGAGCCAGATGACAACCTTTTTCATAATCTGCTAGCCGGACACCCATTACATTCACATATGTGTCTGATACATAGCCAAGAGGCACCCTCAGGCAAAGAGGGAAATTCAAGTCAGGGCCATTTATCTTTCTCCCCCATGCAAACTGAAGAACAGGGCATTGTTCTCACAGACAAAAATCAAAGGAAAAAGGGCAGTGTTGAGAAGAGATTTTGTTTTTGCTTTGCATTTGGAGCCAAGATAAATCTATTTCCTCATCGTGCCTCCTGGATTTATCAGGTGGTGGTAAACACAGCATCATGTAGGGAGGAGAAAGTAGGTAGACAAAGAGTGCGCCCTGATGGTCTGAGGTTCCTTCCTCCTGTGATGACAGAGGAGCAGAAATTGCAGACACAGTGTATTCCTGGTAACACCCAGGGAACACCTGCAGATAAAAGCTTCCTGTCCCCACAGCTCCACCTGAATCCAGCTACCTCCAAGCCACCACATGGTCCAAGCCACCACATGGTCCCTGGAGTGACCACCACTGCCCCTAACTGGCCTCTTGCTGGTCTTTCACAGAAAAGCCCAATGGTCTTTTAAAAATGCAAATCAGACCAAGGTGCTCCCCAGCCTACAACCCTCCAAAGACTTCCTGTGGCCTTAGAATAAAATTGAAACTTGGTGCCATGTTCTGTGAGGCTTCCAACAGCTTAGCCTCTGCCTTCTCCTCCCTCTACTGCATTAGGCTCCTGCCAACACCAGCCATCCTTCTGTTCCCCAAGCACATCAAGCTCTTTCTGACCTCAGGGCCTTTGCACAGCCATCTTCTCTGCTTGGAATATTCTCCCACCAATACATTTAGTTCTCAGATCTTCAGGTCTTTCCAGAACCACTTTATTTACATACACCCAGGGCTAGAGTCAGCTCTTTCAGCCTTGCAAGAGACAATTGTTAAATTTTTAAGAATTTTAAGAGCCAACTGACGTCACTTTGGTAGCTTGAAATCAGCCACTGTGGGAATATTTACACCACAAAAAATGGCAAATGCTAAAAATTGGGCTCATTTTCCCCCCAAGATTTGGATGTTAAGCATTCATTAGCACACCACTGGAATGGTTGCTTCATTGACATCTGAAATTTTCTTGTTGTTTATTTGCTTAGTATCTCTCTCCCACCTGAGCATGAGGTCCATGGTAGTAGAGACCTTGTTTATTTTGGTCAATGTGATCAATATATGTGAACGATCACCGTCAACAACAATGCAGCAGCTAAATGCGCACTTCCCTCAGGCCAGGCCCTGCACTCAATGTTATGCAAGTGTCCCAACAACTCTAGGTAGGGTGGGCCAATTTTATAGGGGAGGAAACTGAGGCTTGCAAAGGTTGGGCAACTTGTCCCAGTCAATACTGTTAGAAGAGGGGGGAAAGGGCAGTGTTGAGGTGTGGCCAGGATGTGAACAACAGGCCACCAGGCTCTAAGTCCACTCCCTTATCCGACATGTCCCCGGCACGTGCTCTATGTTCCTGCTCTATGATCTATGACTGCAGGTCAGAAAGTGTAGATCAAGTCCTCATAGGAAACGCAAGAAGTGCCAAATGATAAGATCAAAAATGTTCTTCCTGCTGACAAGAGAGAAAAGGGGAAATGGAGGGAGAAAAAGAAACAACAGCAACCAAAATGAACAAACGAGGTCGCCCCTTGGGAGAGAAACCCTCTTCTTGATAAAGCACCTCCCTGAAAGGGAGCCCTCATTCCCTGCTGGTGGGAATGCAGACTGGTACAGCCACTACAGAAAGCAGTCTGGCGGCTCCTCAAAAAATTAAGACTAGAGCTACCGTACGACCCAGCAGCCCCTCTCCTGGGCATATACGCAAAAAAACTCAAAAACATGATATATGCACCCTATGTTCATTGCAGCATTATTCATGGGGGCCAAGACACAGAGGCCACCCAAGTGTCCTGCAATAGGGGACTGGATACAGAAGGTGTGGGACATGTACACGATGCAACACTACTCGGCCGTGAGAAAGGGTGAGATGCTGCCATTTGCCGCAGCATGGATGGACCTTGAGATAGTGGGCTAAGCGAAATAAGTCGGACAGAAAAAGCTAAACATGATTTCACTCATATGTGGCATATAAAACTGAAACTCATGGACACAGACAACAGTGTGGTGGTTACCAGAGGAAAAGGGGTGAGGGTGGGAGTAAAAGGGGCCTAATATATGGTGACAAAAGGTGTTTGATTTTGGGTGGTGGGCACACAATGCAATACACGGATCTTGTATCACAGAAATGTACACTTGAAACCTATATGATCCTATTAACCAATGCCACCCCAATATGTTTCATGAAAAATAAACAAACAAACAAACAAACAAATAAAAGAAGGAGCTCTCTGGGTCCCAGAGCAGCCCCTGGTTGAGCTGAACTAGCTGATACAAGGTGAGCTAATGAAACCTGCCTCACCTTGGTGAGTGTCGCCTCCCCAGGGAACACCAGAGGTGGGTGTGGGGCAGTAGAAAGAAGAATGTCCTTCTCGTTTGGTCAGATGTATGTGAATCTCAGTCCTGGCTCTGCTTCTTAGTAGCTGTGTATCTCTGGAGCAGTGACCCCATCCCTCTGAGTTTCCATTTGCTCATATAAAATGGGGACATCACCTCCTACACGCCAGGGCTCTTTTGAAGGCTAAGGAAGACAATCTTTGAAGGGCCCCAAAGCATAACACCCAGCAGGTGCCCATGAAACAAGAATTTTCCTTGTCATCAGAGGGTGATGCAAATCAATACGAGGAGGTGAGATTACAGAACTGCATGGGAAGGCACAGAATGAATGTGACACAGCGGGAAAAACCACCAGAAACATCCTCGTGGGTGCGAAACCCAGGCAC